CTTCTCAGAGCGTTCCCTGCGCATGCACAGGGAACACTCCTTTACTTTTGGGGGGATTTAAGTATCCCCTCTATAGTTTTTTACAGTTTTTAGATTTTTCTGCACATCTGGGGATTGCCCCAAATGTGCAGGAAAATCTCCCTGCCCCCAGGTGCCCCTGATGGGTGGATTTAGATATCCGCATGCGGGGGGGGGGAACCTTGGCTATTAGATATATAGATGTGGGAGACCCAGTTTCAAATCATGACTGAGCCATGGAAGTGTGCTGGGGTGACTAGGCTGGTCACACACTAACCTCCCTTTTAGGGTGGTTGTGAGGATGAATTGAAGGAGAAAACTATGTAAGTCATTCTAGATCCCTGTTGGAGAGAAAGGTAGGGAGTTAATGAAGTGAATAAATAAGGTAAGTAAATCCCTGTGTACTGGAAAGCAAATTTTTGAGGACATTGTTTTCTCCTGTGAAATGGCCTAATAATATATGTTTATAGTGATATGTTTGAAATATGTGGCTTGAAAGGTTCTTACTCAGGAGGTCAGGAAATCTATTAGAACAGAAAATTGGTTCTCCAAAGGAAGCCTTGTTGGTTTTATATTTTTTCAATGTTTTTCCTTTTGATTCAGTTTGGACAGTAGGCCTAAAGCAAATGCCGTGTGTGTTTTGCATACCCCATTTTGTCTGTGTCCAGAATGTAACCGAGTTAATCACTCTAGATGAGAAGCATAAATGTGCACGCATCAACACATTGTCATAAGTATCATAAACATTATTATCGTCCTGTGCTTTCTCAGATCTCACAAGTTCTGAGCCTTTGTTTTATTTATTTAAAACATTTATTAACCGCCTTTCTACCTTACGAAACTCAAGGTGGCTTGCAATGTTAACAAAACAATAACAATTAAAAAACATGAAAATAACAATTTAAAATCACAATTAGGATTGTGTATAAGTAAAAATCAAATGCAGTCTTAAGAAGAAGAAGACGAGAAGAAGAGATTGGATTTATACCCCGCCCTTCACTTGGAGTCTCAGAGCGGCTTACAAAGTCCTTTCCCTTCCCCTCCCCACAACAGACACCCTGTGAGGTGGGTGGGGCTGAGAGAACTCTGACACAAACTGCTCTTTTTCAAGGACAGCTGTGCCAGAGCTTGTGACTGACCCAAGGTCACATCAGCAGGTGCAAGTGGAGGAGTGGGGAATCAAACCCGGTTCTCCCAGATTAGAGTCCGCACACTTAACCACTACACCAAACTGGCTCTCCAGTTTAAATAAAACTGTCTTCAGCATCTCTAAAAGATCGAAAGTGAGGGGGTCACATGCACCTCCCTGGGAAGGTTCCTAATGTTCACCTTTTAAAACAAATACTAAATTGTTGCCTAGTCTTGTGGCTGCAACTGTATTGCCATAATTAGCAGGGGAGTGCATGCAGTTTTTTATGGGCAACTTTACGTGTAATTTATAGTCATCATTCCATAGCAAGTTCTCTGCATTGCAGTATGCTTCCACTTCCTTTTATTAACTGTCTCTGTTACAGTTTCAGTTTACAACATGCCAATCCTTTATATCCTGATTCCTCTTTGAAACTACTGCAGGGATGTGTGGGCATGTCACTGCTTCTACTCATCCCTTGTGTAGGGATTTAGGGAAGCACAAGCAGTAGGCAGTGACCAGGACATGGAGACAATAATGCAATATTCTGTACTACCAATAGGAAGCCTTGGATACAAACTGTTCTGCATGTATCCTCTCCCCTCTTGCATAAATGAGTCACTCCTGATGCACCTTCTCATACTCTTAAACCCTTGATCCCATACTTCATTGCTATTCTTTTCAGAAGTTGAGTTGCTGCTGTTTGGGAGACCTGCTGCTTTGTTGGTGAGGATATTGCCAGCATGGGTTGGATCCTTGTGAGGTCTGTGCAAGGATTTTCTCTGTTCTCCACTGCCCCAACAGCCATTTCTGACCTCAGGAAAGTTTATTCCATGGGTCTGTTGGACCTCTGGAGTAATATCCAAGTGGGTCTGGACTCTGGAGGCTACAGTGGGGCTGGGAGTGAAATGACTCCTCCTGCCAGTGGAGTTCTACTCATGGAAGAGCAGGAGGGAACAATCCCCCCTCCCCACTGCAGTCTCCTAGCTTGCATGCCTATTACTCCAAATCTTGTGGCCCCCCCTGGTGATAAATTTGTCAGCAGCTGGAAGCAGCTGCTGTGTGGGAGAGGATAACTGTGAAGAACTGTGGACCTTGGTGCTTTCTGCGGATGGACTACTGTGGCTACCGAGCCAGTGAGTATCACTGGTGTAGGTGAAGCAGTTGAGACACTGCTTCCCTTTTCTGTTGCCAGCTGAGCAGGTATCAGTCAACTGTCTGCCAAAGCAAGGGAGTGCTAATTGGGAGGGGAGTGTTAATCACTGGCACTGTGAATAGAAGGCTTATCGTTACTTTGGTTCTGGCATGCAACTGTATCAAAGCATGAAGGAAGTAATATTAAAGTTGTTTTTCTAAAATTAAATTGTTGCTTTCATAATACTGTAAGTTTTTATACTTTTAAGGATGCTCAAAAAGGCACCTATATTGCACTATTGGTGATATTTTGATTGATGCAAATATAATCTCATCATTTTCAAAAAGCAGATGATCAAGGACTTTTTAGTTTGACAGCTATAAATGCTAGCATTAATGATCCTGGTTGTTAAATAACAGCTTTCCAGTCCACAGGCAATGTAAGCTAGCTTCCTTATTGACATTTCACTTACATTCTTATTTTTCACCTAAAGGTAAAGGTTCTTTTGCTTGAAAGCCAGTCGAATCCGACTCTAGGGTTGTGGTGCTCATCTCCGTTTCAAAGCCGAAGAGCCAGCGCTGTCCAAAGACATTTCCGTGGTCATGTGGCCGGCATGACTAAACGCTGAATCGCACGGAATGCTGTTACCTTCCCACTGAAGTGGTACCTATTTATCTACTTGCAATTTCTTGCTTTCGAACTGCTAGGTTGGCAGGAGCTGGAGCTAGAGACGGGAGCTCACTCCATCATGCGGCACACTCGGGTCTCGAACTGCTGAACTACTGACCTTCCACAGCCTGCAGTTCAGCGTCTTAACCACTTGATTTTTAATTTTAATTTTAAAATTTATTATAATTTAATTTTTCACCTACAGGACGAGAAATGCCACACACACTGAAAATGCCTCTCAAAGTGTGCTATATTTGGAAAAAAATATTTTAAAAATAGCAAATAAGTTGCATGTCATTACCTTAGCAGCAGCATTTGCCAGCATTTAAGCATTTAAGCTTAGTTCTAAAAATAATTGAATGGAATGATGGTGGTTTTGCCTCCTTTTTAAGAAAGGGTTGTTCTGGGAAAGACATGCCACCCAAGAATAACATGTTTAGCATTTGAGTTCTAAATTGTGAGCCGACTGTAATTGTAAAGCTGTTGTAAATACGCCTACAAAGAGGCCTTAGTCTCTCTGGTATAAAGAAGTTGGGACTTATGTATTCCCATCTAAAGTTACCTGTCAAGCTGGAAACCGAGCAGGGCTGGAGCTTTATTAATTGTTATGCAAGGCAGGTCCAGGCTTCCTCAAACATGACTAATGAGCCAGTGCTTAATTATGTATGCAAGAGCCCCCCTCCCTTCTAAGTAAACTTGGAGAATTCAGGTCAAACTCTGTTCTGGTGTAGTTTGTTCACCCAGGATGTTACACGATTTTTTAACCAAAGAAATGTGTTTTTCCCTTTAGAGTTACTGCTTTTTCTGAAAAGGGGTTCAGGCTTCTATGAGAATCTAATTAAATAAGAAGTGCTCTACAATAGTACAATAGTACTGTGGCCATCAGGCTGGATGCATTATTCCCCAGCATGTTCTGCTATTCTTTCTGGAATCTGGCACTAGGGGATTGTTAGGAACTCTTGTAAGTTCTGTTGTATCACTTGAGGGGAACTTTAGTGGGCCAGGTGTAGTACATACTATCTTTACCAGGCAGCTTTTAGTAAAGGTTCCCTTGCTCGAAAGCCAGTCGAATCCGACTCTAGGGTTGCGGTGCTCATCTCCGTTTCAAAGCCGAAGAGCCAGCGCTGTCTGAAGACGTTTCCGTGGTCATGTGGCCGGCATGACTAAACACCAAGGTGCACGGAACACTGTTACCTTTCCACCGAAGTGGTACCTATTTATCTACTTGCAATTTCTTGCTTTCGAACTGCTAGGTTGGCAGGAGCTGGAACTAGAGACGGGAGCTCACCCCATCTTGCGGTACCCGGGTCTTGAACTGCTGAACTACTGACCTTCCACAGCCTGCAGTTCAGCGTCTTAACCACTTGAGCCACCGCAGCTCCCAGCTTTTAGTACCTGATGATAAACTACCAAATATTTATCCATCCAGTGTTGCTTGTGTTACAAATATTAGTGGATTATCTCCATTAAAAAAAAAAACTTGAAGAAAACATGTAGAGGGGGATCTGATTGACCCTAAGAACATAAGAGAAGCCAATGTCGGATCAGGCCAATGGCCCATCCAGTCCAACACTCTGTCACACAATGACCAAAAATACCAGGTGCCATCAGGAGGTCCACCAGTGTAAAGATGGGACAGAGCATCTTGTATTTGGTAGGAAGTTATGCTAACTGCTGCTATGAAGGGCTCCACCTAGCAGACCTCTTAGTCCAAAGCCTGCATTAGCGGAGTTTCCTTTTGAAGATGGAGAGAAAGTGGGAGGTTCTTGCTTACATGGAGCTCTGGCTTCACTAAAGCACCCTGCAGCTTTGGACTGCAGTTAGCTTGATTTAAAAAGTCTCAAGTATGTGTGTTTCACATACTTGTCACTGCTTTCTATGATGCGTGCCCGGTGAACTTCCTTGATTGATCCTCTCTGAAATTAATATACCTAAATGCCAAATGACTTCTCACTTCAAGTTATTCCAGATAAACCCAATAGATAGAAAATGTATTTCTCAATTGCCAAAGAAATAAGAGAACAAATGTGTTTTGTATTATTTGACCATCATAGTTTAATATCTTTAAACAGCAATAAAAAAGGGTTGCATCCCTAGAGATGCAGCTATCAACATGGTATTGGAGAATGTCATACAGTATCTGCTAAATTTTTAAACATGTTTGGCATCTTAGCAAATATCATACGATTGCAGCGTCCATGATTTCAATTGCAACAGTCAAGTCGTCTTTCCTCTGCAAAGACACTGTCACTCAGATTATTACACTACCAAGTTTGGGATGGAATCAGCCCCTCCCTCATGTAGTTCATGGCCCCGATGTGGGAGTAGCACAATTAGACGATTGTCTCCTTTGAGTTTCTTTTGACTGAATGCAGGCCCAGCAAAGACTGCTGATTTGAAGGGATGCCGGCAGACTTTGGGATGAGAAGTATAACTCTTTGATTGGTCCGACGCCATTCATTGTACAATCTACAGTGATACCGAAACGATACCTGCAGCAAGAGAAAAGGAAGAAATGGTTGAGACTGGAGGACAAAACAGTCTGGAATAAAGGTGCCCTTTCCTATGTTGCAACACAAGTATGCAAACTGCTGTCCTGTGGCTTCATTCATCTACAGCACTGTAACATTCAGAGGTCACATAGTTCGTCTGCAGGTCCTCATCCATTGTATTGTTGTCTGGCAATGATTGCATAGAAAGGACTCAGTGCAACTAGCCCCAGCCAACTGGTGTGAGGTCTTCCAATGTTATACAGCACTCTGGGATGAAGCCACACAGCAGCAGTGATCACTACAGTAAAGGGCACTGAAGATGGGCAGTACATACAAACTCAGAACAAGGGAGCAGTTTGATAGTAGAATTAAAACTCTATAGATAATCAGTTGATAGCCCAGCACAGCTGCAAACTCATTGGGGACTGTGGTAAAGCAGTATATTTTGTCCTAGTCCCAGTTCCCCATTTGTTAAATTATCACAATTTCTTCCCTTCACCACAGGATTGTTGTGAAGATAACTGAGCTAAATATCATGACGTACTTCAGTCAATTAACAGCATGCTCAGTGATAAGCTGCTTAATTTGAATTGGGAAAACGTTTGCCTGTCAGTAGGGTATGCACATATATCCTTTCTCATACTAAAGTCTACCAGTTACTTTGATTGTTTGTCTCCTAGATATTCACCTGCATTCAAATCCCTGCTTGGTCTGCACTGGATTCAATGGGGATAATTTTGAGTCAAGTTCACTAGTTCTTTGGCTTGAGCTTCTCCACTATAAAATGGAAATAATAACTTGTTTCACTGGGCTGTTGAGAAGATTAATGTGTTACGTGCTTCCCTCAGTAAATGTAACATTTATGAATACAGTTCAAAAGCGATGAGTAGCGTGTTCGACAATACTTTGCTTGTGTTCTGCTACATGTGAATCGTGGGGTATCATTAATATTCCTGGTTACAGATGAGCTGGTGGTGAAAACTTTGCTTGAGGAAAAGAACTGGAGTTGTGATAGAGCCATATATGCATGCAGGAGTCTTGAGTCCCTGGCATCTTCGCTTAAATAATGTTAGCAGGTGCTGTAAAAGGCTTTCCTCTGCTTGATATCTTGAAGAACCGCTGCCAGTCGGAATAGAGAGTACTAGGCTGGAAGGATCCATGGTCTGATTCAGGCAGTTCTATATGGTCAGAATAGCTAAAAAGCGATGACTATCTAACCCATGTACAGTAAGATTCAGGTGCTGAGTCAGAGATTTCTTTTAAGATTGGACATCATCCCACAAGCACCTGTCGTCCTGTGGTAGAAAGGTGAATGCTCCTCGTGATACAATGCATGGTTTTAAAATCTGGATGGAAAACCAAATGGGGTTTCTATAGGAAGCAAGGTTTCATCTTATGACCATGAAAGCTCAGGCAAGGCTTTTCCAGGAATTGTTGCACGAGGCTCCAACTGTTTGCTTGCTGGATGCATTTTCCTAGGATATCCTAGTTAAGCCCGACAGGTTGTTTACAATGGTTTTTGCCTTCAGGCAATTTCTAAGTGATGCAGCTACTGAATTTCATCAACGGCCAGGGAGTACGGCATTGAATTTGTCCAGGAAGTGCCAGCAGTTGTTAAGATACTCACTAATGTTCAAAACATGGAGTCTAGCACAATTTCTAAATTTCTTTTGAATCCTGGCCTGATTTTGATTATATATTTATTCCCTATTAAAGGGAGAAACTGCAATTCTGTGTTATCTTGCTCAAGGCAAGAATGGGACTGGGGGCAGGACCTGCCCTTCAATACGTCCTTTAAAATAAAAAACAACAACATAATTTTGGGGTCTAGGATTCTTCCCGTCCAGCACAGAGACATAGTTTGTGTGCTGATCCCAGAAACAATTATTAGATTCCTGCAGAAGATCAGTGGGGCACAGGCAGTGGAAAGTTGCTTGTTTGCAAGTGTATGGAATCTCTGCACTGAGAACAGTTACCTTCATTAAACTCTAAGTCAGTGGAGCAATACCCAGATGGCATTTAGATTTATGCAAACATCAGTCTAATATCATCTAAAAAACCTTTTTATGGTAATTGCTACATCTGTAACTGGCTTCATTCTGGCTTACTGCCTCCACAGCAATAATGGGGCACTGACACTACAAAGCCCAACACTGTTCTGAAGAAATTCAGTTGCTTTGAGTCTTGACTGTGCATATCTTGGTGAAAAATGCACAAGCATAGGTGAGCAGTGCTGGCTGGCTGAGTTCGTTCAACCATCCGTGGGTTACTCTGTATTGGCCAGACTGGCACAAGGGATCCTTCTTCATCTTGGATCACTGATGTTGGCATCAGGTCATCTGAATGGACTGCAACTGTTGGAAGCAGCCTGACCCTATTTTTGAAATACCTTGAGGAATTTATGTATTTTACTTTACCCCCAAAAGGGACACAAAGTAGCATATGTTATTCTCTCCTTCTCCACTTTATTTTTACAACAACCCTGTGGGGTAAGTTCGACTGAATGCGTGTGGCTGACCCAAGGTCACCCCCAGTAAGTTTCTGTGGCAGAATGTGGATTTGAACTTGGGTCTCCCAGGTTAGAGCGTAACAAAAGTTTTATTCAAGTTATAAGGTTTTGTGTGCATGCACACGCAAGTTCATACCTTGAATAAAACTTTGTTGGTCTCAAAGGTGCCCCTGGACTCAGACTTTGTTCTGCTGCTCCAGACCAACATGGCTACCCACCTAAATGGGTCTTAGTCTGATAACCCACTCTACAACACTGCTTACCTGAGGGACTGCCTTTCCCCACGTTCCCCAGAGAGTACTATGCTCAGGGTCACAAAATCTTCTGGATCTCCCTGGCCCTAAAGATGCCAGGCTGGCTACTAACACGGCTAGGGCTTTTTCTGTGGTGGCTCCGCACTGGTAGAATGAGCTCCTGGAGGATATCAGGGCCCTGCAGGATTTATTGCAATTCTGCAGGGCCTGCAAGACAGAGCTCTTCCACCAGGCATTTGACTGGGGAGTCGCCCCTAATAGTTCAACAGAGGTTAAGACCCTGTGCCCTGGAAAGCGCCATTAATGGCCTGTGCTGTGCTGGTACAACTGAAATATATTATGGGACTTGGACAACAGCCCTATAATTACTGCTGATTGTTGCCCACTATGGCTAATAATGAAGCTGTTTTGCCATCCTGTATTTATAATGAGCACCTTATAAATGTCTTATAAATGTTTTATGTTTTTTAACTGTTTTAACCTTTTATGTAAGCCGCCCTGAGCCTGCTTCGGCAGGCAGGGCGGGGTATAAATCGAATAAATAAAATAAAATAAATAAATACAACACTGGTAGTACACTATATTATCAAGTTTCATTTCCTCTTTAAATTCTGGCTTGAGTTTAAAATCGAGACACCTTATTCAATCATGAACACAGTGTGTATGTATGCTTAGAACTTCTTTTCCCCCAAGACCATTTATACTTCGTGGATTTGATCTGAGCTACGCCTATTCCTTTCCTCCATATATATCAAAGAAATGACTTGACTAACTTATAAAGGATTGCGGGGTCCAGAACAGTCCAATACAATCTTCTTTATGACCAAATAGGCAAATTGGATAGGGAATAATGATTCCTATGCCAGTGTAGTGTTCAGCTGGGTGCCACTGTTAATGGATGTGCCACAGCTTGGGGCAATATTGTTGTGCAGTTAAGAAGTACAGAGGAATTGGGGGGGGGGGGCTTTTAAAATGAGGTACATGAGTAAATGTATTTTGACTCCTAGGAGATTCCTAGCAGGCTTTCAAATGACTAATACAAGCAACTGCCTCTTGACAAATCGTACGTGTCCCTGCAATATGTTAGGGAAGGCCTTCTAGGCTCTATTGTACAGAGCGTTATATATGTGTATCTTGAGTATGAAAAGATGCACACATGAGTATCAGTGCTGGGTGTAAGAGGCCATACGCAGGGTGGAGAAGTAATCCTTGGGCTCATGTGCCTCACTCACTGCATGCAGATCCTTTACTATGAACCAATACATTTATCCTTAATGCACCTTGCATGAGACACAAGCATCATTTTCCATGGGCGGATCTGACAGATCCCAGCTCGCATCAGGAGTTCTATGTGCAGGAGGGAAGACATACATGTCCAAAGTTTACATCAGTGTGTACCACCACCATGTAAGTGGCATTGTTTTTTGTTTTAAAAATTATTTTGAATTTTCAAAGTAAACAACCATATATTTATTATTAACAATATAGATATCTGAGTCTATAAGTCACCATCAACATTTAACCAGGAATAACTCTAGACCAACGTTTCTGAAAAGTCTTAGCATCTTTTCCTTGTAACCACAGTGTTAGCCTATCCATTTCTGCCACTTCCAACAATTTATTTTTTAACTCTTGCATAGAGGGAAGCATAGATGATTTCCAGCTTTTAGCCACCAAAATTCGTGCAGCAGTTACAATGTATTTAAGTAGGTAAATATCATTTACTTTCATCTTATCAGGAAACATGTTTAACAAAAATATTTCAGGAACTAGTTCTAAATTTATTGCTAACATGTCAAATATTTTTTGAACTTCCTTCCAAAATGTATCAATCTTTTTGCACCTCCACCACATATGGCAGAAGGAGCCTACATTGTCTTTGCATCTGCAGCAGTTTTTAGAGGTAGTAGCAGAGCACTTAGCTAACCTATCCGATGACCAATACCATCTGTAGTATACTTTCAATATATTTTCTTTATAAGAGGTCGCCCTCAGAAGTTTAACTGACTTCCAAATTTTTGCCCAATCCTCTATCGGAATAGCATGGCCCACATCTTGCATCCATTTAACCATTATCGTGCTAACTTTTTCATCCTGCATATAGTCTTCCAACATAAAGTTATACAGTTTTTGAATAGCTTTATCATTTGTTGACAGCCAAAGTTTATCCAAACTATTTTTTGTTGTATAGAAACCCATTACTTTATCTTTGACAAATCTGGACTTTAACTGTGTATTTTCCCATCACGTTAAATTAATATTAGCATTTTTTAGGGCTTCCATATCTTTAAGATTGTTATTCTTATCGAGTAGAACATCATATGATCGGTTTTTTTCAACTGTTATCAAGGAGGGCATAATAAAAGCTTCCAGAGGGGAGACCCATCGCAGAATTTTTTCATGGAATTTATCTTTTATTTTCTTCCATACTTTAAACAGGGGGCCTTGCAACATATGATGTTTGAAATTGGAGTGTATTTTATCCTTGTCATACCATACATAGGCATGCAAGCACATGTATAGATCATGACATTCTAGTTTTAAAAGTCTTTTGTTTTCCAAGGTTATCCAATCTTTAATCCATGTAGCTGCTGCAGCCTGATAGTAAAAATACCAGTTTGGTAAACCCACTCCTCCTCTTTCCTCTTTCCCTCTTATCTTGCAATGCTAGGATACCAGACAAAAGATTTGACTATTTTATCAAAGTCCTAAAAAAATTGAGTGCTTTTTAATATTGCAATATTTTGGGCCAAGAATAGAAAACATGGCTGCAATTCCACCCATAAGAGATAGCTGCATGTCTTTCCATCTATGGAGATCTTTCTTAACTTCTTCTAGCAGTTTTTGATAGTTATTTTCTTTTAGCATACTGTTCTTATTTGTCATAGCTATGCCTAGATATTTTATCTTATCTACGACTTGTATATCTGTCTCTTCTTGTACCTTCTCAATAATATCTTGAGGACAATTTTTCATAGGGGAATTTCAGACAGGCAATAGACTCCGGAAGGGAA